ACACATTTTGCGATTCATTTTTATATTATAGATATTTCTCATGTTACCTATGCATTTATAACATTCAAAAGTTTACACTTTGTTGTGGAAATGTATATTTTATGAGTTCACTTGTACCCTCTGATGGTGTACAAAATCTGGCTCTTATTTCCTTTTAACACAGTTATTTTTGGCAGAAAACATATCGCGAGCGAAACGAAGAGACAATAGACAGTCGGCGCGCGGGGCCGAGCGGGTGCGATGTTCCGGCGACTGGAAGGGGCAAACGCCGCGTCTCGTGGAGACGAGGGGAAATTGAAGAACGGGCAGGAAAAGGAATTGGAAAGTAAGGTGAGTGAGAGACACAAGAAGGCGAAAATAAATAGGGAGAGGAAGAGGAAAGGGGATGTGGAAATGAAAAGAATAAAATGCGGGAAGGCGAAGGGGTAGAAAAGGGTAAGCGGGAGGCCTTCATTTTTATGAAGAAGTAAGGGGTTGGGAATAGGGGAGAGAGAGGGGGAAGGTACGAAGGAAGGGAAGGGGGATGAGAAGAGGGAAGCGTAGATGGAAATGGAGGGGAAGGGTGCAGAAATAAGATGTATGGAAGAGGAAGGGATGGAAGGTCCTGAGAGAGAGAGAAGGATTGGAAAGGGAAAGAATGAAGGGGGAAATAGGAGGAAGATAATAGGATAGAAAGAAATAGGATGAAGGGGTAGGAGACGAAAAAGTACTGGAAAGGTCAAGAAGAAAGGGAAGGAATAAATGAAAGGAAAGAGAAACGGGAAGAGGAAAGGAGGGGCGGGTAGGAGGCGGAGGCGTGCGCCCTGACAGCGCCCGAGGCTCTGCAAGCACAAAGCACAGCGGAAAGGAAAACAAACGCAACTCTTCGAACTCGCGAAGCGTCTAATGACTTCCAGCGCTAGCGAGGCAGGGGCGTGGGGCGTTGCCGACAGCAGTGAAGACGGGCTCGGCGGCGGGGAAGATGGCGATGGACGGATGAGTGACGACGTCAAGGCGGGAGGGGACGGGCGAGGTCGAGATGAAGGCGAGAGCAAACGTCTGAGACGCAGACGGCCGTGACAATGACAGCGGCGGCGGGCGCAAGGACAGAGTAAGGACGGTGGTGTTCATGACAGGCGGTGGCGCGACGGCCTTGTCAAAGGGGAGGAAGGTCCGCAACAGAGCTCTTGCTGCAGAGTTGGTAAGCTTGGGTTTCCCGACACGATGGTAAAGCACCAAGATAAACAGAAACGAGTGACAGTAAATATCTTTAAAACTACGCTTCACGGAGGTGGAACACGAAATTGGTTGAGTGCTTATCTAAAGAGATGTTTCTTCAACCATTTTCTAAAATAATTCATGATGGTTGAGCAAAACTATTTAGCTAAGAGAATGCTATAAATTAATCCTTTTCACGCAATTGATGTTAAATATATTAAAAATAACTCGTTTGAAATAATATTAATTTATTTATTGTAATTGTAATACAGATCAACTTGCAACATTAAAAATATTTATTTATTTTATTTAATAGGTAATTATTACAAACG